CACGTCAGCTACAGTGACACATCAGCAGTGCCACATCAGACACAGTGACACGTCAGCTACAGTGACACGTCAGCAGTGCCATGTCAGACACAGTGCCACATAAGCAGTGCCACATCAGCAGTGCCAGGCTAGACACAGTGCCACGTCAGCAGTGCCAGGTCAGCAACGTGACGGGCCTGCCAGGCCAACTGGCCAATGAGCCCATTGCCGACTACAAAAAGCGCTTCCAGGCTCAGCTCGCTATCATCGAGGCTGAGGAACAACGCCAGCTGGCGGCCAAGGCTGCCCAGCTACAGGCTGAAGAAGCGGCAACAGCAGAGAAGCTGCGGCTACAGGCCGAAGCAGACGCAGATGCCCAGGCTCGCCGCAAGGAAGCCCAGGATCTGCTGCAGCGGCATGAAGCCAACAGCATCAAGAGACTCAAGTTCTGGCACTTTAAACCGAACGGCGACGAGGCAACACCGGAAGAACAACACAAGGAGTTCATGGCCAAGCTCGTGACCAGGTTGGTTTATACTTGTAAACACCTACAGTCCGAGCTGGTGAAGCTCCAGCGGGCCGTGCGGAACCATAAGACTCAGCACGAGGATGCCGCACGGGCACTGGACGCCCGTGTACTGGACCTGGAACAGGCTGTACCAGGACCAGATGCAGGGGCTTCCAACAGTGCACCCTCTAGCCGCCAACTGGAGGAACGCGTTGACCACGTAGTGGCAATGCTAGGAGACATAAGTGCCTTTGCAGAGCCGGCCACCATCAGCCAGAGGTTCGAGTTGCTGGACACCAAGATCAGTCAGCAACAGCAGACTGACCACAGCCACAACAACAGCTCGACGAGGCCATAGAAGATGCCGACGTTCCGGATCGAGAAATTTGATGACTACACACATCAAGACCCAGTCGTCTGGTGGCAAGGATTAACAACGGAGTTGGGGATTCACGAGGTCCCTGACCATCTGTTCATCAGTGCTCTGTTCATCAACACYAAGGGAGGATGTCAGATCTGGCTCAGCCACATGGCAACCATCCACTGCGTCCAGGTTTCAGACCTGTACAAGAAGGTCTCCTGGGAGGATATGACAAAGGAATGGAAGAAGCGGTTCATCGTCGACGACGCCCCGACACTCGCCATCAACCGCATCTTCACGATGGCTCAAGGGAGCACACCGGCACGTGACTGGCTCACAGATTGGCAGAAGATCGTGGCAACGCCCGATTTGGACTTGCCATTTCCGCATCTGCGCCGTGAGTTCTACGACAGGTCATGCGCCGCTCTCAGCCGCGCACTTGGTGATCGCGAGCAGTACAACACTTTCGCAGAGATCATCAAGACCAACATGGCAGCTGCACACGAGAAGTCATCGTGGCAGCCAACCTATGTGGAGAAGGTAAGAACTGGTCCACGACAGCAGCAGTTCGCTGCAGTCCAGTCGGACAGTGGAGAAGACCCAGCAGCCACTCCAGCATCACGTGAGGGAGATCAGGTGGCTGCTGTCCAGCCGCGAAGCAACAA